ACAACACTCGGATTATTGAAGGGCAGTTATCAAACGACAAACTAAGTGGGTACATACTTTTGCCCGCTCATTGATTTGATCGCTTAATTTCAACGTAGCTGTTCGGTCAGAAAGTTTGTCCTCCACAATCTCTACTTTTTTGAATAATTCGTTCGCTCGTGCCTTTTCTCCAGGCCCGGCCACTGTGCTTAAAATTGACTGCACCGAGTTAAAGGCTGTCCGACAAATGATTAGCCTTTTATCTGAAATATATTTAATGATAAAAAGAAAAAAACACATTTCCTAGCAAAAGATTCCGCATGCGCGCTGTCAAAAGTTATCAAGGCCAATCTCCAGGGAATTTTACTGGGAAACAGCACTGTTGTGCTGCTTAAAAGTAACATTTGCTTTGCATTTTCCACAAATGGCAGTGCTCATCAGCAGAACTTCCTGCTTTCCTCCGATGTTACAGAAAATTTGAGTACTCAAGCAAACGGATTACAGCTTACAACAATGATCACATACGAAGTCCAGTGTTTCAGCTCGCAACGAATTAGAATAATTGGACAGGTACCATCTGTCAGTTAAGCGGTTGCCGCTCAAATTAAGAACTGATTTCTACGGATCGCAAAATCCGGCACCAAAGCTATTCTTAAAAACCGTCAAGAATTTTGAGGTATTCTTCTTACAGAAAGTGAAGACACCATCGTTCTAGTTTTTGGAATTTCGAATACTAAATAAAAAGTGCGTCGATTTGGATCCCTGCGGGGAAAACGAACCTTTGATAGCTTTTAGTAGCAATGGTAAAGCCGGTTTTTTCCTTTCCTGGGCAGCTTGTGCATTCAACAGCTGGCTGTCGTAATCATACTGAGCACCGTTTTCATGAGTTAAAGACGAAATAAGGACAAACACTGCTGTAACATCAAGATTGATGGTATCCACAGAACTGCCTTCTATCGCACAATGCCTCGATTCCGCACAACTTATTTCCAAGCTTTTCAACATATCGCTGCAGGCATCATGTAAACAGAAATCCACAGGCAACTTCACCACATCGTTAATGTCCACCTAAATAAATACACAAATCGCGAGTGAGAAAAGCAAGGAAGTTGGAAATTTGGGAGAATGTTGCCTACTCACGCACGAACAAAATTTTTTTAAACTCAGCTCCTCCGAACCCCCGGGGCTCACGTACGGGCATGTGAAAGTTTTGGCGGGAAAATTGCTAACACAGGGATGAGAAAAGCTAGAAAGCTGAAACTTCAGGGGAATGCTCCGTACCCGTGTACGACAAAAAGGCTTCAAATTCAGTCGCCCAGGACTGCCCGGGGACCACATACGGGCGCGTGAAAATTTTGGCGGGAAAATCATTAACCCGGGAACGAGGAAAGCTAGAAGGCTGAAACTTTAAGGGAATGTTCCCCACCCACGTACCGAAATCAGGCGTCTGAAAGCTTCCGGGCTCTACGTACGGGCACGTGAAAATTTTGCGGGAAAATCACTAACCCGGGAACGAGGGAAGCTAAAAAGCTGAATCTGTAGGGGACTGCTCCTCGTTTATGTACTACCAAACGATTTCAAATTCAGCTCTTTAGAACCGCCCAGAACTCACGTACGGGCGCGTGAAAATTTTTACGGAATTGCCAACTCGGGAAAGAGGAAAGCTGGAAGGCTTTAATTTTAAGGGAATATTTCGTGTGCGACTAAAAGATTTCAAATTTAACTCTTCTGGTAGGGCCTTTTTCGCGGACCAACAACTTTCTTTTTGTCGGGTCGGTGAAGTCGAAATCTACAACTGATATGCCATATAGTTGCACAATTAACTTCCCGAACTTCGAGGGCCAGTATATCATAGGCTAGCTACTGCGATTCCTTGAAATCTTGCTACGCACGAAAAGTGCAAAAGCGCATGATCGAACCTGCCCGCCTGGTGCGTTCCAGCCCGGGTTTTGTTAGTCATTCCGTACATGTGAAGGTGGCTATAAGCAACAAGGTAAGAAATGTAGCACGCACTGGGAAGGTTACCTCACGACCAATAACCTTCACTCCGATGAGTTCCAGTTTTCGCGCCAACATGTCCGGTACGCCATTCACAAATTCAAACACAACTTCAGGCGGCTTGAAGAAATACTGATGACTCTGCGCCATCTGAATATGCACTTAGTGACGCATAAAGTTAATATACACAATGGTACATTAATATCAATCTAAGGAGTTATCACTGTTTTCGCTGATTTTTACAAATAGATGATCAATGAGAGCTGTCAAGTGACCAACTGCTAACATCCCATCAACATAAACCGTTCCAGCACACTCAGCTACTACTCACTGCTGAAGTTCAAATTCCCCAGTTACGCATGAAATGTTGTTAACAAGTGGCTCGGCCCGGCAATGGATTGCAGACTGCACCTTATAGTGAAGCGAGCTGTGACAAATCGCGGTAGACTGTGATGCTGATGTGTAGTTCTCGAAGGACTGGAAGATTCTACCTCTTGCAGAAAGATTCTACCTCTTGCATTACATAGTTCGTTCTATCCTTGCCTTCTTTTCTACGTTCTTCATATTACTTTCATGCTACAATCATGCGATAATCAGAT